CCCAGTGATATCACGTGGCGGCTGCCTGGCTCAGTGATGACAACCGCGTGTTTTTCGACGGCATTCGTCTGGCTCCGTTTGGCTCATATAGCCCCTGCCTTCGCTGCCGTCGGAGCAGAAGATGGTCAATCCTGTCTGGCGGGTTACTTCCAAATTTAACGAGCCATCTCCTTTCTCGCTCTGTCTCTTGAGGAGTAGATCTTCTTAGAATCTACTATATTTGATTTCAATCAGCCAGTCCGTCTCTGCTGTCTTCTCAAAAAGCATTGATGATAGCAGCAGCGGCCCGGTTCGAGCCACCGCAGCTGTCAACCGCCAGAGCGGTGTTAGTCAGATCGTAGACGTTATACTCAACAGTGACAGTGGTCTCAACCGGAACGAACAATCGGCGTCGTCTCCACCTTCTACCATGTACGAAACCGTGTAATAATCCGTGCTCTCGGCTGGCTCGCCAGCGATGAGACCACTTGGTCCAAGAGTAGGCTCGGAGTAAGCACCAGCAACCAGCGCTGGCTCAGCAGGCGGCGCAGGCTCAGCAGTCGGCGGGGAAGACGATTCAGGTTCAGCAACAGACACCGCCTCAATGGTGAACGAGCCACGACGCCCCTGGAGTTGTCTGGCCATACTCCGCACGTCGCGAATTTCCCTAATCACAATCGTATCCCGGTCATATGACTCCATGGTAATCTTCCGGTGCCTGCACTGGTCCTTCATGGCAGCATCCTCATACATTGTGCAGGCAACTGGGCATGGAAAGCTGCACTGAGGCTTGCACTTGCATTTCGCGACATCAAGAAGCTTGTTGAATTTCACGGCTGCTGTGCCACTCTCTTTCTCTCTTTGATTTCTTGCTGATACCTCTGTTGAGATAATATCAATTCCTCTCGATCAATTTTGTCACGTATTTTAGATCATGAACAGTGATCGCTCCCTTGGTCCACAGTACCCTGATTTCTACGTCGCGGTCTTGAAGAAAGTATTAGTGAGCTTCCTCTTCGATTCGCTCAGCCACCTGCTTTAGCTCAATGCTTTTTTGTAGTCGGCAGTTGGTGGTGGGACAGTAGAGCCGGGTGGCCTATCACAAAATATGTTGTGCGCAACCGTGTGGCCCCCGGTGTGATTATACAAGTAATTGCTGGAAAGAAATGTTTCAGTACCGGCAAAACTTAACTAATAAACCCATATCTCTCGCACAAAAAGCAAGTTAATTGCAAACCAACATCACATTGATGCGTTAATAATAGCAAATTTGACCTAACCCGGTCTAGTGAAGCATTCTTATAACTGCACAACTTGGGTTTTACCAAAAATTAATGTTATTTTAGTTAAAAGTCAGTATAAGAGCTGTTTGGCAATGTTTTGCAGCTGCTCTTTATTATATCTATTTCATACTTAATCCACCAACTACCAGTAGTGTGGAAAGTGGCAGCTTTGGGGTTTTTGGAGGTTGATCCCAGTGTGTAAAATAGGTGGCGCTAGCATCGCATACGGTTTTCTTGGCCTCTCACAGAAAAACTGCTCTCGTCTCACGAATATCAACATCGGTGCGGTGCGACAGACCTGAAAGTTTATCATTGATCCGTGTGCCAAGGAAAAACTTTGTCTCAGCTGATTCCAAGAGATTTACCCCCTCGATGACACACCCTTATATATATAATATATATATATATATATATAGATAGAATAGAGAGAGAGAGAGAGAGAGAGAAGAGAGAGAGAGAGAGAAAGAGAGAGAGGGAGAGAGAGAGAGAGAGAGAGAGAGAGAGAGAAGAGAGGAGAAAGAGAGAGAGATAGAGGAGAGAGAGAGCAGAGAGAGAGAGAGAGAGAGAGAGAGAGAGAGAGAGAGAGAGAGAGAGAGAGAGAGAGAAGAGAAGAGAGAGATATGTATATATATATATATATATATATAATTATTATATATATTATATATATATATATATATATATATATATAATTAATGTATATATACATATCACCACGTATAGTGCCACATCAATGGTATGCAAAATACGGGAATATGGAAGACATAGAATATGTGCAAAACATGAAGCAATGCAAGATCTCACCAACCCTTCCATAAGCGCGTTGGCCATGCCGACGAGAACGCCAGCTCCACAACCATATGTGT